CACAACAACTTACACTGTCCACTTGCTTTGGAATATGTGGAAGGCCAGAAACAAATGGGTCTTCAAAGGAGACTGGTTAAATGAAATGGACATTGTGAGGAGAGCTCATGCTGAATGGCTGGAATGGAACTCATTTAGACTACAAAGAGGAGATGGACCTGATTCACATGGTGCCTGCCATCAGTGCTCAGCCATTTGATGAAGGTGTGGTAGAAGTGAATTATATAGGCACAAATGAGCACAACAACTAGCTGCATTGGGAAGAAATTATAGCAAGCACACCAGGAAATATGGAGGATACAAAAGCCACTCTCTTAGCTGTCAAATGGAGCTTAAGGCAATATCATGAGCTTAAAGGACAACCTGGAACTTGCTATCTTAACAATGTTAATGCAGTTAAGTTGCTGAACAAATCTGAGCCTTCAAACTCTCAGCACACAGCCTTGATGGAGGAAATTATGCTGTTGTTTGATTCATGTATTATTGTTACTTGTTTGGTTTTCTAGCTATTGTAGGTTTAGACCTTGTTGGTCATTTGAGGGGGAGGTGTAACCTTCCTCGTATTCCTGTTGTATTCTGTAGATTATTCAGGAGATGTAATCATTCGATTGCTCGTTTGTATCAGTACTTCGTATTTAAGTTATAAAAGTTTGTTATTTTGTCTTGGAAAAAAAAAGCTGAGATCATTAGACTTGATAAATATATATATATATATTTATTTTAAACATAGTTTGACTTGTTAAGATTCATTAAAAAGTTGAGTTTGATTTCATTTATAAACGCATTAACTTAAAGCTCGGATCGATAAGGGGCTTGAGCTCGAGCTCGAATATTAGAAGCTTGGCTTGGTTTGACTCGTTGACATTTCATACGAGCTGTGTAGTTTTCCCAACATAAACACTCCGTCAATTAATTGGTGATCATTTGAGACGACAACCATAAACAAATTAGTTTACTTAATTTTGTAGTTAAAAGTCTAATTTAGTTTAGTTGACGGTGGATCCGGCTAACAGTTAATGAATTCATGTTTAAGGCGGTTTAATTGAGGGTTACTATATAATTATGGTAAGATCTTGATTCGAAAAGATCGCTAGAATCATAAATGCGTAAAATAAATGAGACACAAATTTTGTCGATCGACTGTAGTGACCAACAAGGAGAAGGTTTCTCCAACATGTTTATTAGGAATAGTAGTATGAGAATTACAGTTGAATGTTTTGTGTATGATCTACGGGAGATCAAAGTACGATCCCGATGATCTTTAGCCAAAGTGGGCTTATGTTGTTCTTTGAGCTTATTTTATGGATATGATCATGTTGCCTTCTGTTTGTAATATTTTTGGGCATGTGGAAACAGAGCTACCAGACTCGGATCGTTCTCAAAGGAAGACTGTTCGGAGCTTCGTTCACTACCTAGTCGTCAAAGTCACATAACCAAAAAGAAGGTCCTACACATTCTACTCACTTGATGGGATTTGATTGCACGAAATTGAACTAAGAATCTAAGAGCAAATAATGAAAAATGCAAGAATCGAAAGAAAGGTCAAAGCATTGGTTGCACTGAGTATCCACAACTCAAGAAAATAAAAGAAAACAAGAGAAAACATGCGAGCATAGTGATCCTTGGTAATCTATCACGAGCTTTCTACACTAAATCATCACGCTTTGAACAAAGTCGAGACCTTTATACTAGATAAGCACTTATAGATTCCCAACACACGAAAGCAAGCAATGAAAATAAAGCAAAAACCTAGAAACGAGCATAAACACAAAATTCGACAATCAAACTCGAAGTAGAAGGGCCTAAGCTAGGTACCTACTCTCCCATCGCATGCTTGAACGAAAATAGTGAATAAAGCTCGAAACTTGAATAAAAATAAACTCGCCGGAATTTCGTTGGAAAATTGAGTCATGGATCTCCTAACCAAAGCATAAAAAAAAAGAAAAGAGAGAGAAGAGAGAAAATAGAGAGGATTTCCCAACTTAAAAGTTGGGAAATGAGGTTTGTGTCCAAAATTACAAAGCACAATGTTTATTTATAGCTACACCACAAACACACACTAAAAACACACACATTTAATGAAATTCTGAAGTTCGCAGGTCTCGAAACGGGGTTCGCAGCGAGTTTAGGCATGGAATAGTGCAGCTGGGCGCGTTCGCGGGTCGCCAAAACAAGTTCGCAGCGAGTGTAAGGATTGGAGCTGGGGCGTGCATTTTCGCGGGTCGCCAACGGACGTTCGCAGCGAGTGCAAGGCCTTGGAGCTGGGGCATGCGTTTCGCGGCACGCCAATGCTTCTTCGCTGCGAGTGAGCGCTTGGGGCTGCTGTAGTGCGTGTTTCGTGGCACGCGAATGGAATCTCGCTGCGAGTGTGTTGAGTCCCAAGGTAGGCTATCTCTCGCTCGGACGGCTTGGATGATTCGGAATGATCTCGGAATGGCTCAGAAATGGTTCGAATTCCCAAGCTTAATATATAGACCTACATAACACACCAAAACAGACGAGAGAATACGCAAAAAATACAAAAACGCGCAACGAGAATGAAAATACTAAAAATACGATAAAATGGCCCGGTCGACACTAAAATAAACCTAAAAAGACTCGACTAAAACACATAAAACACACAAAAATAAGCACAAAAACATAACAAACACCTTCTTCTGGGCTTGAGAGCTGATATTTATACACGAAAAAGGCGTTGGTTCATTAAACGAGAAATACCAGCTAGCTAATTAAGCGTGTAGGCTGACGCCGTGCATTTCCATGCAAATGATGAGAGATGTCAGGCGACAGTGCTACCAGCTTTAATTTCAGGGCACGGTTAGACTGATCGTCAATCTTCTCGAGAGCTTCTGCGGGTGATTGTCGTGCCGATCGAGTGATCGACAACCCTAATGCTGATTGCATGTGCCGACTGTGGAGTAATTTTCATGGTCTTGGGCTTTGTTTGTTTACTTGGACTGAGATTAGAACGTGGATCACAGCACTCCTTGTGATTGGATATTTTGAGTACTAAAAAGTTTAAAAACGAGAAACCCTTAAAATTATTGAGCATTTTAGTGTGCATCAACCAACTTCTAAACGAGAAATAATAAAAGAAAAAACGAGAAACTTCGTTGCAACAAGTAATTTCAATTAGAAGAAAAAAGCCCAAAATTTTGTAAAAGTGAAAAATAAATTCAAAGGATTAATCTTGACCCCAAATTATCAAAAGTTCGTTGCAACTTGCAATAAGAAAAAAGATAATATGTTAACATCACTTTAATTTGCTTCCCTTTTGAATAGTCATATATTGTCTTGCTTGATTTTCCTGCTACATTATCCTCTATTTTCAGACAAATGGGTCCATCATATCACATATTTCTCATTAATAGTACAGATTTTATTTTATTTTTTCTCTTGGTAAAACTAAAGTTTATTCTGTATATAGCTATATAGACCCCTTTTTATTCTTCATTTGATAAACCTTATTGGCTTTATCTAATCACGATGTAGTCGTTGTTTTGGTCATGTGACCTGCATTAATCAGCCACATTAAACAAGTTTTTCATGTGTTCATATTGATTTATTAATTTTGTTGCGTTACGCAATAAAATATATCATAAGTTTTATAAACACAACATGTGATGCAGATGTTAACTGCGAACTATATATATCATCTTTTATTTCATACGACATTTCAGATGTACAAATATATAACACTGATTGAGTTATTAATTATTATGCAGAAAGTAAATTGGTTACATAAATAAATGTCTCAACCATCTACCTAGCTAATCATCATTGAGCATCTGAATGTGCATCAACCAACTTTTAAACGAACAATTTATCATTACTAATGCATATTTAGAAGTATATTAGTGTTCACGTCATAGATGGACAATAAAGAGAAATTCAAGTTTGGTTTATTTATTGAAAATATTTTTATTAATTAATTATTCAGCAACAATTTAATGCATATTTAAAAATGCATAATATATGCACAATTATGTTTTCTGAATGGTTAAAATTTGGACCCGTTTTTCTATTTTAAGTTGTCAAAATCCACAAATTCAAAGAGAAATATGCAATTACTACACTTTAAATATTTCATTGTTCATGTTATGACCTTCATGTTGCATTATTTGACTATTGGTATACGTAAATGTACTATTAAGACTATGTTTGGTAGACAAAGAAGCTAGCTTATAATTTATTTCGTTAGCTTATAAGTTTTCTGTATTTTAATAAGCTTCGTCGTAGGACGAACATTTTTAAAAAGCTCTAGCATATCTCATAAGCTTGTTTATGTAGTTTTTCAAATAAATTCGTTGAAAAATTTATTTTAGCTAGCTTATTAGCTAATTTTACTAAATACTTTTATCATTAAGCTAATTTTTTAATTAGAAGTCATAAACTATAAGCTCAAAAATTACTTATAAACTATCGACTAGCTTATCAGATAGTTTTACCAAACATGGTCTTATTAAGATGTATCATTAAGTATTATAACATACATAAAAAGATAGATTAGTAAGAGATACACATAATATTTAGACAAATTATATATTTTTCAACGGAAATGTATTAATGTCGTCATATTTAAAAAAAAACATAAACAAAAATATGTCATTTCAGAACATAAATATGTATTTTTTATTAAAAGAGTATAATGAATCGACTCGTCTAACGATTTGACAGCACGACACAAGAATTTGTGAAACATCATATGTTTTATTATAGTTAACATGACTGTTACGCATAAATGAGCTTAGATCAAATCATAATATAGAAAAATGCTACAGTCCCGTTACAGAATCATTCTGTAGGAATTTTTAACCGTTAGATGCATATGTAGAATGTGCATCTAACGGTTAAAAATATGCATCTAACGGTTAAAAATCCCAACAGAATGATTCCGTAACGGGACTGTAGCCTTACCCCATAAGATATTCAATAGTTTTGGTTATTGCGTGATATCAATAATTTTTCCCATTTTTTTTTANACATTCTATTGTCCAAAAGCTCGAGCAAATCAAATCAAATCAAACAATCCCAAAAGAAAAGGCCAAAATTGAAAAGAAAAAAAAAAATCACAAAAATGACTCACACCAAAGCCACCACCGGCGCCGCCGTGGCCAAGGTGGAGATTAGCCCATACTCCTCCCCGTCACCGCCGTCATCTCCCCCGACTCCACAGGCTCCGGCGATCCTCACTCCGTGTGCCGCCTGCAAGATTCTCCGGCGAAGGTGTGCCGAAAAATGCGTATTGGCGCCATATTTCCCGCCAACCGAGCCGCTAAAGTTCACGATCGCGCATCGGGTTTTCGGAGCTAGCAACATTATCAAATTGTTGCAGGTAAAATTATTAATTTTTTTTTGATATTTCTTGATTTTTATGGAAAGTAAATTTTGGATCTCACAAATTTTACTCATGTTTTGTGGATTAACACATGCAAAAAATGGTATTAATGTTTAACAAATAACAAATATGTGCACTTGCTATTAGTTGTAATTGGGTATGAGAGCTTTCGATATATTGCACTGCAGTTATCGAGTTTTAATCATTAAATTAAATTAATATATATTACAGATACATATATTCAGGTGAATGTGTGTTTAATTCAATGTGGTGAAATATGACATAGAACATTACGGGTCTAATTTCAATTTTTTTTAATTAGTTTTTATTTATTTATTTATCAATTTATTACCGTAAGTGAGTTTTTTTTTTTTAAAAAAAAAAGATTAAATGCGGAAAAAGTATTGAAATTTATTAATTCTTAAGAGTTTATTGCAGTTCCTCTATGATTGAATTAGCTCCCGAGTTCTTTTTCAAGGAAAGTTTCATTCTACCGGGCACAAAAATAGTTCTATTTCGTCGTGTTCCATAATCAATATAAAATATATAATAAAATTATATCGGTCAAAAGTTGAGATCATTTGTTTTTTATTTTCTTTCTTCTTCTTCTTCTTATGTTTTTTGAATTGACCAAAACATTCCGCAATAATGCGCAAAGATTTCCTAATAATAAATCCATAAAAAAGATTATCATTAATTAGTATGAATTTACTTACTTATATGCACTTAGATATGTACCATTTAAAGAAACTCGTGACTTACGACCGCAATTTTTTTCCTGCCCATATTCATAGTACGTTGAACTTTGCATGTATAGTGTCAAAAAATTTCTGCATTGTACATAGACTTATACGAAATGGAAGACATGCAAAAGTCAAGGAATTGGGCACCTAATTGTGCTGTACTTGCTAGCTTACAATTAATTAAATAGTATTGACGAATAAAAATCAACTCTCCACACTTTTATATAGACATTCCACACTCTTTATATAGGCGGACATTGAAACAATTTAGAGGCATGAAAATATATAACTTCAGCAACAAATCATTAATTTATCAATGAAAAAAAATTGTAACACATATTATTAATTTCACACCTTCTAATGCTAGAACATGTCTAACAATTAGGAATCTTAACTTTTCAACATATATGCATACTTTCTAATTGAAATGTCAAAATATAAATAAAAATATAACATTTCACACATCAGAATTACACATTTTTGCATAATATCTTTTTTCCGAAAAATATCCAAAACCTCAATCATACAATTCGATTTCATCTCTAAATTTACTAAATTGATTGATAATTTGTTTAATGTTTTCAGGAGCTTCCCGAGTCTCAACGAGCCGATGCTGTGAATAGTATGGTGTACGAGGCTAATGCGAGGCTGAGGGACCCGATCTACGGCTGTGCTGGCGCCATCTGTCACCTCCAGAAACAAATCTGTGATCTTCAAGCTGAGCTGGCAAAGGCACAAGCAGAAATCCTGAACATGCAGTGCCAAAATGCCAATCTGTGTGACCTAATATGCAAGGTACAAATGGTCACAGCACATAGCCATGGAGTTGAGGACAATAATAATAATAATAGTAGTAATTTTGGGGTACAATCAGCTGCAGCATTGGCATACAGTACTCAGAACACAGCTTTTATTGAGGATGCTAACATGGGAGTTTCTTGGGAGCCACTTTGGACATAAGTATAAGAAGAGGATAATATATGTGTTATCTTATTTTATTTTTTTTTATATTTAATTTTTCGGTTTTGTTTTCTTATCTTGTAATTGATCATCTACTGCAAATTTCTCCTATCCGTGGGTAACTGGAGTTTTAGCTGTCAGATCTACACACATCTTTGTGTGATTTGATGGCTACAACTCTGTGAGGCTCTACAATTTAGATAAAGAAAAGGTACTTTTTTTTTTTATTATTATCCAAGTGCACCTAGTGAAAATGAAATGAAGGGATATATAATATATTTACATATGTTAGATAATTACAGGTAATTCCAATATTTTAGATTTGAGTAACTGTTTATTTAATGCACATGTTTGATACTGTAATAAGTTTGGGGAAAAAAAAAGCTAGTAGCTAATCATAATTAATATAAAAGTACTAAACCAAGTTCAATAATGGGAAAAAACTAAAAATTGAGTGTTATTTTTTTTTTTCAATTGAAAATCTAGAAAATGAAATATCAAAATTGGTTCCTGGAATCTTTATTTTTTATCTTTTGAAGAAGTTATGCTTAAACACACACACACACACACACTTAATTTTAGTAGGCACTCGTATCACTTTGATGGGTACTGATCATGGATATTATACTTAAAACATTAGAATCTAAACAAAATTAGGCACAATTTTTTCAATTATTTGGCCTCACCAATAAGTCATTCGGTCATACATTATGAATAAAAATAAATACTTAAATGTTGTATTTTTATTTAACTTGTAGTTTCTTAAAATAAGATATTTTATAATTAAAGTATGCAAATTTTTGTTAGAAAAAAAAAATATTATGCTGAACACAAGTTTATTAGACTTTAGATAAATATAATTAAAGTGTTTATTAGACTTTAGATAAACCCAACGAAGCCCTACTAAAACACAAGTCGTTCTTTAATTTAATCTAAAAACATTTTTTGTCATTTGCTTTCTAAGGAGAGGTAAAAAAATTGTTTCTTTTCTTTTTATTTATTTATTTATTTTAATTTTTATTCACAAGGTGTGAATTTTTTCATTTTTCTACGAGACTCCTCACCAAATATTATACATTCTATATAATGTAGGGATTTTAAAATTGATGATAATTGCTAAGATTAATGAAGACCATAAGAAAAAGTGATGTGATGAACTCTCATTAATTGCAGGTGGTCGATACACAGAGTGTAAATTTATACAAAGAAAAGCTGAGGGATATTTAACCCTAACTAATTACTGCAACTAATTAACACTTTGACTAATGCAAAACTAACTAACTAACTGCCAGCTCATAATAACAAAATGATTATGCTAATACACCCCTGAGAAACGAAGCCCGATTGTTTTTGGCCCGAAGAGGTAGCCGAGAACATAAGAGATGAAAACGGCCTGGAGATAAAGGCTTGGTCAACACGTCTGCAATATGAAATTCAGATGGAACATGCCGAAGTTCCACTTCCTTTGAAGACACCTTTTCTCGAGCAAAATGGACATCTATTTTAATATGTTTAGTGTGTGCATGGTGCACTGGATTAGAAGCCAAAGCAGCCGCACTAGCATTATCACACCATAAAACGGAGGGAGATTCAAAATATAAGCCCAACTCACGAAATAAAGACTGCATCCAAACTAAGTCAGTAGTAACAGTTGCAAGAGACCTATACTCAGATTCAGCACTACTCCTAGCAACCACCTGGTGTTTTTTGGAGCTCCAGCTAAGTAAATTGGGACCAAGAAAAATGAAATGGCCACCGGTGGACCGTCTATCATCAACACAACTGGCCCAATCCGCATCAGTGTATGCTTCAAGTACAAACCGTGAAACATGCTGAAAATTTAAGCCAACAGATAATGTACCCTTGATATATCTAAGAAGATGCTTACAAGCAAGCGAATGAAGATGTGTGGGAGCATGTAATATTTGACTTAATTTGTTGACAGCAAATGAGATATCTGGCCTTGTCATGGTCAAGTATTGCAAAGCACCAATAACACTCCTATAAAGAGTAGGGTCTAAAAAAGGTTTACTGTCTCCTAGGTAAAGCTTTTGAGCAGGGGAGAGTGGAGTGGACACTGGCTTGGAAAACAACATATTAGTCTTGGCAAGTAAATCAAGAGCATACTTGGCCTGATTGAGATGAAAGCCATTTGATGTCTTCAAAGCTTCAAAGCCAAGAAAGTGATTGACCTCCCCATATATTTTTAATGCAAATTTCTGACTGAGAGAATCAATAAGGGCTTGAACCATAGATGTAGAATCACCAGTAATGAGTATATCATCAACATAGATTAGAACCAGAAGCAGCTTGCCATTATGCCTTTGAAAAAATAATGAAGAATCAGAAACAGATTCTGTAAAGTGAAGAGACAATAGGTGATCTCTTATCTTAGAAAAACAAACCCTAGGTGCTTGTTTAAGACCATAGAGAGACTTTTTGAGTTTGCAGTAAGATGATTTGAATCCACAAAGCCCTCAGGTTGGGACATGTAAAGTTGTAAACAGTTTCTTGAAGATCGCCATTTAAAAAAGCATTATTGATGTCAATTTGTTGAATGACCCATTTATGAGTGGCAGCAAGAGTAAAAACTAATCTGATGGTAGATGCCTTGACCACAGGACTAAAAGTCTCAAGAAAATCAACACCAGCAGTTTGTTGAAAACCTCTAGCAACAAGCCGAGCCTTGAACTCATCAACTGAGCCATCAAGTTTATATTTTGTTCTGAAGACCCATTTATTGCTAATAACCTTCATATCAACAGATGGTTCAACCAAAACCCATGTATCATTTTTAAGCTAGAAACTTCGCCGGCACCGTAGAAGCAAGCAGAAACTCCTCAAAACCACGAGCACGAACATAAGACAGAATTTGAGCTTTCCAATATGAAAAATTGGATCGATCCAACCGGAGAGGAAGAGGATTGAGATGCGGTGAAGTAATCGACATGGATGGCGAGGAAAGACGCTCGGCCATTTGTTAAAAAAAATTGGAAAATCAACGGAAGCAAGGGTTTCCGGCGACTGATACCATGCTAAGATTAATAAAGACCAAGAAAAAGTGAAGTGATGAACTCTCATTAATTGCAGGTGGTCGATACACAGAGTGTATTTCTACAAAGAGAAGTTGCGGGATATTTAACCCTAACTAATTACTGCAACTAATTAACACTTTGACTAATGCAAAACTAACTAACTAATAACTGCCAGCTCATAATAACAAAATGATTATGCTAATAATAATAGAGCTATCAAGTTTTATAAGGGCCTCTCGGCTCACATTTGAATTATTCAGTACTCCCTCCTATTTTTAATAAATGTCGTTTTGAGAAGTTGCACAGTGATTAAGAATATTGTTTTTGCCAATAATAACCCTCATTAATGAGAATAGAGATTGATGTTTTGAGAAAATAAGGAGAATGAATATGAAAGGACGTAGTGTATTTATTAATTAGATGAGGGTAATAATGGAATATGTACAAAATAGCCAAAACGACATTTATTTAACAAATGATCAAGTAAGCCAGAATGACAAATAATAAAAATAGGAGAGAGTAATAAACATTAGAGTGGGACCCAAAATACTAGACGATTAATGTTAGTTCCGCTATTAAGTCACGTTATTTTGTAATACAATAGTGAGACAAAATTTTGTTTATGTCCAGAAAATGTGCGGCAATTGATGTATATCAAATTTAACACACTAACTTGTAAAAAAGTATAAAAAATAACACTAATTATTAGGATCGCGGAAGCATATTTATATATAAAAAATTAAAAAAAAACACAAATGGACACAAATAAAAGCAAAAAAAAAAAAAATCTGGACCAAAATTAAAAACCAGTATTCTGAGAATACGTTTTCTTTACAAATTGTCATTGAAAAACGTATTCTCAGAATACGTGTTTCAATGAAAAACGTATTATGCAAATACGTTTTTCAATGAAAATTACAAAAAAAAACGTATTCTCAGAATACGTGCTTTTTATTTATTTTCACAACTTTTTTTTTTGTTTTGTTCTTGTCCACTTCATTTTTTCTTATTTTTTTTAAGTAAAAAAACTTACTTAAGCTTATTATCACGAGTTACAATGCGGGCCGAAACTTGGCGACGAGATGAGTTATTTGTGTGTAGAAATTTTGAATCGGAAAATGAGTCGATTAATGAACTCGAATTTGGATAAAATTTTATGTTTATCTTATAATTAAGTGTATATAAAGAATTTGGATAAAATTTTATGTTTATCTTATAATTAAGTGTTTATAAACAAATTTGTTTATTTTAGTGTTATACTATACTCATTCACTAGTAACCATCATGTGCTATATATGCACAAATGTATATAAAATATTATGAGTAATATGTGTGAATTTAATATTAAAATTTTAGATAATGAACATATTACATTTTCAAGAATTGATAATTAGCAAAAATAAAATAATATAAATATAATTTATTTGAATACATATAAATCACTAATATATTGATTGAAAAAGTTTGTGGGTATTGTAATTTTTATGATTTGGAGTGATCACGGTCAAATAATTTAGTTGAATTATAATTATTATTATTATTATTATTATTATTATTATTGTTATTATTATTATTATTATTATTAGAACAACAATTGTTTATAAGATTTTAAAGTTGTTTGACTATGATATTAAAACTATTTACTAATTGTTTTTAAGGAAATTTTTTCATGAGATATAAAAGAAAAAAATAATATTGATGTTAAAATAAATAACTTGAAACAATTGTTTATAATTAATATAACTTATATTTATTGTGAATTAGTGTTTGTTGGTATTAGCATTAACTATTACATAATATAATAAATAAAAAAAATGCTTGATTACACTCCATAGGATGTATTAATGTGAGAAGTAAAAAAATATTGATGATAAATTTTGTAACCGAAATTTATAGGTTTTATTTATGAGGTGGGAGATTCTGATGTGACCATACGTATATCCCCTCTATATATACTTTCAGAATGCGCTGAGCCTACGTGGCAAACTCTCATGCTTCAAAATCTTATTTGGCAAAAAATCATTCTTTGGAGTTAGGCTTGGATATAAATTAATATTTGTGTTAATTGTATTTTAATATCATTTCCTATTATAACCATTGAATTATAAATATATTTTAAAAGTTGATAACTTTTGTATTTCTTATCGGTTTTACATATATAATATATCAAATTAATCATCTTTTGATGAGCTTCGATTTGACATCCTGTATATATAAAATAAACAAATTATATTTATCTTTATAATAATAAATATTTATTAAAAT